GTGGTGGGGGGGCTTTGAAGGGCGGAAAGATGGAGAGGGAAGAAAAAAGGGGGGGGGAAGAGATAATATAACAGTTAGAAAATCTAGAACTAATATTAAGCAGTTAGCAGAACACAAATTGGTAAAGTCTCTATACCACCCTTCCCAATAATCTCCATCGATCATGTAGAGGATTTGGGGGGGGGGGGGGTCACATTAAGCACTGTGATCATAACTCTACCCTCTACCAGGGTGGCAGATATTATAGGGAAAATTACCAAAAGCCACAGAGATAGTAAAATGACCGTCTATTAAGCTTCTATAGACATATCTGTGAATATCTTGTGAAAAATCAATTTGTGGCCCTGGTAGGGTTACCATAACCCCACCATCCCCACGCTGCACCGGTCACACTAGCCCTTCGACCTCGCTTTCTGTGGTTTGCGTGGGCCGGGATCCTTTGTTCTGTTGTTTCACGAAAGTGTGATTCAAATTCACATTCATCTGTAAGTAAAAACCGTGAATTCTTGTGGCCAAATAAAACGATATTATTGAAATTGCAAGGAGTGGTGACTAGCGCCTTTACTGAGTAACACTGGGTTCATACGGGGAATACTATTATAATTCTTCGCCATTTGAACGAATTTCTCTTCCTTAAAATTTCCGCTAGAAGTCTATATTTTTCATCGCCCTATATGACCATGGCATGCGGAGCCGTGTTAACTTAATATGGACAGTTTACCTGGAGTTTTACCTGGGTTTCTATATAAGACGGGCATATCAGGCCTCGTAAAGATAATTGCCGTTTGTATTTGCATTCGCACTGAAAGAAGTGCAATATCTTAAATCTCATCTACATTTCCCAAAACGCACCTATTTAGAACATATAATGTACTCTATCATTCTGTGTGCTATATACTTAACAATGCGGTCATTCACCATCTTCATTCACAAAGGGAAGAATTATAGGCCTACTATCACGGCGCATTCAGGGAATCAGTTTCATCAATGGTCCCAGGAAGTTATAGTATTTAGTGAGCAATATTAATTGTCGAGGTGACCAGATGGTCTTTATATGACGCCCAGCCTATTACGTAAGCCGCAAGGTGCGCCGCATCAATATATAGATTGCCAGGTGAGGCAGTTGGTATAAGCGGCGTGGAATGACTCAGGTCTTTCTTGTCATTTAAAAACTTTGAAAATTGTCGCATCTCGAAATTTTTGAAGATCACAAAAACACCGTCATAACAGTTTGGAATCCGGACATAGTTGAAAAAATTCATCACAATAATCTAAAAATTCATTATATACTAAATAAATCACTGCAACAAAATATATCTATGAATTATCCAACGCATTATTCATAGCACAGAGATCAGATTTCGTAAGTTAGAAGGTGGGCATAAATTTTCACCTGCCCGATTTCGTAACTGCGGCCGTAATGGTGCCACCTTAGTTATCTTTTATTCGTCATCAAGACACGTAGTAGATCGTAGTAGATATATCACGCCACTGTTATTAGGTCAAGCTTGCACCGCCCTTGAGTCTCTGAAAGAAGACCCACCTCGTGTGCAGAAAAGGTCAGCCATGTTGAACAAGATATCGTCTGCAACAGATGAGCTCAAGTTGCACACGCTTCAAGGAAAAATAATTCTGGAACTGCATCTTTCCTTTTTCTGAGAAAAATGAACAACAAAACAAGCAGTGACTATCTTTTCTGTGGAGCAGGTTGTTTTCCACTAAAGAAAAAACATAGGATGTGGGTGTTAAATAGTTAATTTTCGTATATCATCTAATACGTGCAGTAGTTAAAATGAAAAGGGAAGTAATATTATATTACTGCTTTCGCGCTATCGATCACTGATGTGGATCTTGAGCATATATGACGCGCTAATCTATTCTACTGTTTACATCCGCCTAGTGATATCAAACAGTTCACAATGGCAACTTGCCAGGGTCGTTTCCAAGAAGTCGTCCAAGCCATTTTTCTTTGCATCAAAAAGTCAACAAGAGAAAAATTGCATTTCAAATTAATACATCTCTTTTATTTCAAGAGAAACAATAACAGGGTGATCACATTGAATGTATTACGAGACGATATATGACGATTTTACATGTACATTCTTTAGGCATGAATCCATTTCATGGACTTTGTCATGATGGAGGAACGTATGACCATGACTCATTCTCCTTCTATTGAATGCAAGGTGTGACATATTTACACATCTTGCCTACAGAAAACAACAGATTTACTCACTTCTACCACACTTAAATCGCTCGTTTTCAAGACTGTAGTTAATAAATTGCACTAAAGTCTGATTCTGAATCTCTATTCTACAAGAACAACCTAAAATACGCAGGTTCTCTCATGACAATAAAAATAATAATGACAGATGACAAAAAGAGCATTTTTGGCGTATCAAATTCCACTTTTTAACATAAGGAGTATCAGTTAATCGTAAATCCATCTGCAATCGCACCTGTATTATTTCCAACATATGGATTTCATTGTTCACACTCACTGACCACGTTCAAACAGATCTCACTAAATGTTACTGTTAAGTCTGTATGCCCTTAATCACATCGAGTCCCTGAGGGTATAAACTTGTAACATTCAAAGTCTGAACGCATTTTTTTTTTCTTTTTTAAATATAATCAAGAGTTTATCTTATAGGTTTTGAAACAGTTTGCTTCATTAAACCACAGAATACTGTCAACATCACTGCAAATCGTTCAATATTCCTCCAACGGGAATTAAACATTGGCTTCGGCACCGTATTGCCACAAGGCACTTGCTGGTAAATAAAGAGTTACAGCACCTTTCCTTTACAGGTAACGCTAGTGCGTTGTGGTTTGCACCAGTCCGGCTTGGGGGGCTTGGCCTTTGGGATAGCCTGTGCCACGTACCCCACACAAAGGTAAACGACTGAATCAACTCGGGAGGTTTTCCGGTTGCTCATACTGTGAGAGCGATAACGGGACGGGCCAGGGTCTCAAAGGCTTCTTTTATGTGCTTCCCACACTGAGAAATAGTCGATTGGGTGTCTGAGCCCAGCCTAGTTTTCTCAGCTGTTTGGATCGAATTCTCCACTGAACTGTTATTGTTATGACTATTGGAAATCAATCCAGTGAAGCCCGAACTGAAAATGTTCACCAAGTTTGAGATCTGAGTCGTTTCCGTCTGCATGGGCTCTGTGTCTACTTGTGTCTCCGCATCGCAAAACTTTGAGCGTTTAACGGGGGAAATAGAGTCCACGGCGAGCTCGGTTTCACTGAGTCGACGTTTCACGCATTTTGCGCACTCGGAATCAGCATTGTTATCAACGTCCGATTTATTGTCTAAACTCGACTCTTTTGAGATCATATTTTCGTCGGAATTTTCAAAACTGTCCTTTGTTTCAGCACTCATTTCTTGTGCAGGGGGAATGTTTTCTTTGTCCTCGTGGGTCTCAGACGGGCTTATGCAACCTGCACTCTCAGAGTCACATGGCGCGGCATTTCCCGCCGGCGTGGGGTGAATTTGTACTTGTAGCGTGGTTTCAGCAGATTTGGATTTACTGACCTGTTTCTCGCTCGATGAGTGTGTCTTGGCCGTCCTGGTTTTAGAGTCTACTACCTCACGAAAATTCTGCATCATGTAAGCAGTCCTGGCTTTGTATAGCACCTTTGTTACAAGAAGGCTTTTATGCAAATTGACTCCACCACGTTGTTGTCTGCATTGTGCGATTTTTCCCAAAGAAACTGTGATCAAACGGTGTGCTTCGGTACCCATTTTATGATCCTTTGGTCGTCGTTTGACGTTCTTAGTGTCAGAGAACCCAATATGTTCCCCTGACTAGATTAATGACAATAATAAAGCTCAAGTAAGGAGAGTAACTCTAAATATGAGTACTCTACCTGCTACGTAATTCAAGAATGGCCGTTTATTGTTAAACCATGAGTAGAGTTCAAACAGCCCATGACGTCATTCTATTTTTGGTGTCCAATCAGATTCTCTCATAGATAATCACATGACAGGTGCCCGATAACTCTGGCCAATCAGCGCACAGTGACGTCAATGATTATTCAATTTCCCCTTCCGTCCTAAAATAGCCGTGACCCCGTAGCTGGCAATAACTGGTTGTTACTAAGGCTGCCACGTCATGACCGCTAGTAAATTCCTGAGCTGTTTATCGATACATTCATGCCCTGTTACTCAGACACAAAAGAAGACCGTTTACTGGGATAAAGGACGAAGTTAAAGCAAAGCGTGAGGTCATATTTTTCAGCACAGAAATATATCATTGTGTGAATATTCTGGGTGAGAACGATATTAGTAGTTGAATAAAATCAGTGAGTCAAATTCTTGTGACCCCAAGCTTTACGGTGCATTTCACCCGGATATTCGCCATATAAGGATAGTATGTAAACAAAGAAATGGCGGGACTTTTCCACGTGCGCAAAGGGCTTTTTCCATATTAAGGAATTGAGTGGGGAATTTCCAGGCTACATGGTATTTTTGTTTTGAATCCTGCTCTGTCATTTTTGGATTCTTTTTAACTGACAAAATTTTGTTTATTTTAAATATAACTCCAATGCTTCGGGTAATTGACGGTACGTATGCCTTTTTGAGATTTTAAAAAATGAAACTTACTCTTTTATTACTTTATTAATTCACAGTTACATTGCTTAAATTGCAATATTAAAAAAATCCGTGCATTTAGAAGATGTTATTATCAACACCCTCTATCTGTGTCTAGTGATTCAGTTATCTCAGTGATCAGCCGAGGAATCTGTCATCACCCATGTCTTTATACCTGTTTATTGGACAAACTGTATTACCGGCCATTCATTTAGATGGAATTATGATTGTACCATTTTACGGTTCGACAATTTAGGGAAAAATGAATCATTTTCTCTTAAATAATAAATGATAGCCTTATATGAGAATAAACGTGTAAAGCCATGTACTGTAGTACACTTGAAATAAAGTTGCCGTAAAATATTTAAGTTTTCAACAATTTGGACAAGGTGCTAGATTAAGAACACCTTGTACAACTTAAAAAAAATACATGCTTCACTCTCAGTAAGGGAACAAAAGACCCCCCCCCCCCCATTCACTTTGGCACCATCTACCAGTCAAACATCATACCAGTACAGGATATACATAAAATAGGTGGGTGAAATTTTAGAAGTAATGGAGTCTCCAACAAAGAGGGATCACCCAGAAAACATCCCTTTAGGTCAGCACTTGGTAACAGGGAAAAAAAAAACAGAAAAACATGGCTTAGTAAAACCTTGCACAGGAATTTGTGAACATCCGCTGCTAGCTGCTCACTGCATGAATGAACGGCAGCAAACCGTTGTAGCAGTAGGCAGTTGTTACATCCATTCTCCCGGTAATTTAGCTTCCATAGACTTGTGGTGGGTGTTACGTGATCCATGGATGTAGTTTCCGTTTATCGTTATACTCAGAGTGCTTGGGATGCTCTTATCTTTCCTTAAATGTACTCTAGCCCGACTACAAACACTGGCCATTCAGGTTGCTTTGTCCAAAGCAATACTTGAATGTGTTAGTTGCGCCGCGGAAGCCACAACGCAATCACTATACCACAACCGACAGGTTCCTCAGATCCATTTCTGGTAATTCAGCCCAGGTAACCTTTCTTCAGAGAAATGTTTTTTCAAACTAGGCTATATACAAGAGTATAAATCCAAAAGTATATATCTAAACTCCAGGCTTGTATTTTATTATGGAATGTAGTATCAATGTAACATCAAGCTTAATAAATTATCGAGTAACATAAAAATTTGGGTGATGATGCTTAGACAAAAAAGAAAAAAATGAAATATTCATATTGAAATAAAGTTCGACATATATTCAACTTTTTTTCTTCTGAAAGTGAACTTCTTAGTGTATTCTGTATATAAACAACTTTCCTAAATTAAGTCTTTATTCTTGAAATTAAAGTACATTCATAATTCACCTATAGCATGTACAATTTGACAAGTGAAAATACAAATTTAGAGATTAAAATGTTATTTCAATATTTTGTATAACTTTTTGAGCACTCTGACTGGAATAGAAATATTTCATACAATCTGTTCAGGGCCTAACTGATATGTTGACGATAGTTTGAACTGACATTTTAGTAACTGTTACTGTACCCTGGGTGACAATCGACTAGCAACTACTTCATTATTAGCATGCATCTACCATCTCCAGTTAACTCCAACTCTCAGCATGATTCTGTTTAACACTACAGAATATTTATTGGTGACAGCATTTTACTGATATGTATCAATTTTTATGTAAAACTGAAACAGTAGTTTACAATTTTCAAGCATAAAGGTTAATGCATACTGTGCCAGATAAAATGGGAGTCAGTGGGGCAAGTTAAGACGATTTATTAATGTATTCATTGCTCTTCTAAGTTTTTAGTTCATTCCTCTTTTTTCCTACCCTAAAACACAACGCTTACATGAAAAAAAAAAAAATAAGACTAGTTTTCTGTTGAGCTAAGCATGATGACTTTTTCCTTACGTTTATAAAAGATTCTTTAAAAAAAAATACTAATTTTGTCAAAAGATACTTCTTTAAAAAAAATACTAATTTTGTCACAAGCTTTTTAAAGTTCCTTTTGAAAATAACTGGGCTTTTTATGATATAGAGAGTCTAACGAATTTCAGTTTCTAACAAAATCAATAAATATTAATTGATCATAAAAATGGAAGATCTATTTATCAATTTGTGGAAACAGAATTGAGCATAATGGAATTTTTTCTTAAGTAAGTTTTTTAATCTAGGACATTGCATTGATCTATATATTATAATACTTTATTTTATAATTTTTAAAACCTATATTTCTCTCCAGGAGAGCTACAAAAAGCTTTCAACCCTAAAACAGTTAATAGTTCAATTACAATCATCATCACCCGATTTCCTCTCCATGTCACGCCATTTCCTACACTCAGTACCAAGGCATTTTTAGACAGCTTCTTCATCTGAATCGAGTACAATTACGCATTCATCTTCATCCTTATTGACATTGTTGTTTGTGCTGTAATGCTGGGGTGCAGCTTCCTTTTTGATGGGAGCTTGCTGCTGAGACAGCCATTTTGACACCTTTTCATTGGCATCCTCGGTGTCATACACTTGATAATCAGACTGAGTAGTAGTAGTAGTAGCATCCGCATTTGTTTTTGGTAACTGGGTGTTATCTGTGCCAGAATCACATGGAGTTTTCTTTGCAACAGGCATAGCTGAAAGGGACCCAGGATTGGTGCTGTCTTGTGTAATCTCCCCTAGTGTTCTGTCCCCCTTCTGTGGACTAGTCAGCCACTTGGTAAAGCTGGACTTGGTGCTTGTGGTCATTAAAGTTGATGTAGGTACTACATCAGGGGGCTGCGCAGTGTTGCTGGTAACAGCTGAAACTGAGTTTTTCTCCTTCTCTACCGCTATCTGTGTGCCATGCAATAGATCCCCATTCGTCTCTCCGGCGAAGGAATCCACAGCCTCAGCTTTCACAAAGTCTGCCTTCTTCTCTTCCTGGCTCTCATCATCAGAACAAACTTCATCTTCATCAAACACCTCCATGTTCAGAGTACTCCCAGTGTCATATTCTATGATGGTCGTTTTCTTCTGTATAGGTTGGGAATCTTTTTCTTCATCCTTCTTGTCTTCCTTAACATCTGGACTGACTGGGTTGTTTTCAGTCCCTTGCTCATTTTTATTTCCAGCACTGTTCCGGGTGTTTGTAGTGTTGTCCTTGGCCGCCTTTTTACCTGAATCCTCATCTTCTTCATCATCCGATTCAATGGTGATGAACTCGCCTGGAGCTTGAGGAGGAGGTTTGGCAGCCATTTTTTTCAGACATTTCCCACATTTTCTACAGACCTTTTTCCCATGTCTGTCTATATAACAGGCTTGTCGGGGTGCTGCTACAGTCTGTTTGGGTTTTGGGGTCACTGTGACTGTTGACTCTTGCAGAGTGTTCTTTGGAGCAGTATTTATCCCAGCAACATGTGCGGAAGCATTGACTGAAGCTGTTCTTTCTTGTGATGGATTTTTTTCCACTTTTTGGGGCCCTTTTGTTCTCTCTTTGTGTTTGGAAAAGGGCAAGCTGACAACCATTTTCTTGGAAGTGTCAGAGTTCTCTTTTGAACTTTGGTTATCAGTTTCATCTATAACAAAGATCTCATTATCATCATCACCATCAGTAATAGTTTTGGAGGTGGAAGCTGTTCCCTCAACGTTACCTACAGGTTGACTCTTGGTCTTGTTGGACCCTGCGACTGACGTTTTCGCTTGAATATTTTCTGGAACGTACTTCATCTTTCCACCACCATTCCGCACCTTAACCCTATGGCTTTTAGCCGACCCTGTTGTTGCGTTCCTGACATCAGTCGTTCCCATGTCTTCCTTGCTGTTGCCACTAGCCTCTTTATGGACTTTCATGTGATCCTCCATGGCAAATGGAAACTTGGTACAAAAACCGCAGAGCCCACAGACATAGTCTTTGTCCAGCACAACATCTCCACTGTAGGAGGATGCCGTACCTATAGAATTAAATGTAAAAAAAATGCACAATACTGAAGGTGAAGAACCCAGTCTTGTATTTTAACACATGAAAAAAAAAATAATAATAATACAAAATGCTACTGGAATTCTCAATAAATGCAATTTTTGACATGGAAATAATACATCACAATGGAAAAATGTTAAATTCTTGTGCAAAACACAAACAGTTGAATAAATTAAAATTCTTTAAAATTATGCAAATGATAAAAATTCATGACTCTGGATACAGAATAATTTTTGAAAATAGAAATGAAAATCTGACTTGATTCAAATCAAAATCTTTACCACATTCCAGCTAACCACGTTAAAATAAGATATCAAAAGCAGAAACTCAAAACTGAATTGCAAAGTATACCAGGATAGAAAATAAGACTTAATAATATTACCTAAAGATTTTTTTGAATAAAATGTAATTTATACCTAAGGCAGTCCTAACAGGAGCAGACTGGTCTTTTCTTTGCTGGGCAGATGAAGTCTTGGCCATATTTGCCCATACATTCTCTGGTTTCCTCATCTCTGCAAGTCTTCTATCATGTTCCACTAAAATTATTTTTACAACATCTATATTTCACCATAAATTTTACAAAGAAAAGTACAAAATCAGTTTAAAAGTACCTTTTCATGTTTTCACAATGAAAAGGATCCATTTTCCTTTGCCTACCTTTTTTCAATTAAAAAAAAAATCATTCTCCATATAGAAATGTATCTGTATGTTTCTTCATGACAAAAAGCATTAAATTTTAAATCACCATCAAATCTCTAAATTGTTATAGCAATTAAATTTTATAATCAAAATGTGATTTTTCCATGAGGTTTCTAAATTTCATTTATTAACAAACTTCCATCAAACTCTAAACAAAAAGGCTTAAAGTATAAAATGTAAGCATAAAATAAAAACAGTATTGCTCTAAAATTTACATTATTTGCAAGAAATCAGAACATTTAGAACACATACTTTTCATCTACTTATATTCACATATGTACACAGATAAAACCGACAATTCTTTGGTAAGAGTAAAGAAATGGAAAAAATGACTCCAAATTAATATACCTTCTATGCCCACTCCATAAGTCACACATTTCAAAAAGCGGCATCCTGGGCACATATCCCTTGTCTCAAGAGTGATTATACATGTTGGGGTACAGTGCTTAAACTGCTTCTTGCTGTCAATAGCTTTTAAGTAAAATATCTGAAATAAACCAATATCATCAATTATGATACTGCATGCCTACTGTTCCCAATATGACAAAAGTTTCTTTGTTTTGGTATGCTTTTGCCAAGAAAAATGCATTCTACTGTAATAATTATCTTTTTATAATGTCAGATTAAAAAGACAACTTATTTCACATCAATATTTTATGGCAAATTCATTTAACATTCTATTCATCTTTTTTAAATATTCTACAAGTATTTAAACCAAAACCAAATTAAAAAAAAAAATAATAATCTACACCTCCCCATTACATAAACAAAGCATGCATAAAGAAAAAAAAATCTGTTCAGTTCTCTCACCTTGCAGCTATTACAAATCTTGCTTCCAAAAGTAAGAGCATAATCTCCACACACTCTACACATCTCCTCTCCTCTACTTTTCTGTGTTTTTGTATTTCCTGATCCTACTGACTGTGCTTTCTGTAAATGTGCCCCTCTTAAGTGTTCGAGTATTCCGTGTTGGTCTGGACACTGAAACTCACAAAAAGAACACTTGAAATGTTCCACAATATTCTGAGAAACACATCCAGGAACAGCTGAGGACACTGATGTTATGTTGGCAGTATTTGAGGAAGCTCTGTGGCTGTTTACTACAGGATGACTGGCTTGTCTTGTTGTAATAGATGATATAGTTTCTCCTTGGGAACTGTTTCTTGAAGACTGTTTCCCCGTGGACTTTCTTGCTGTGGTTTTACTTGTGCGTGGCCTCTTAACATGATCTCTGGTGGACAATTTCTTATTTACTTTCTTATCAAATGTTATGACTTTAATAAACTTCATGACACTGGGTGCATTTTCCTTCAAATACTGAAATGGAACGTTCTTGTGGCTCTTTTCAAAATGCCTCTTGAGGGAGCTGAGAGTAGATAGCTTCAGTCCACAATCAGGATGGATACATCTGTAAACTTTGACACTCATGTGCTGTTCATACACATGGTCCTGGGCCTCTGTAGCCAAATTAGCCTCAAACCCACATAGGCTACATTTAAACAGCAATGGGTGTTTCTTTTCTGAGGCAGTTCCTTTACTCAACTGACTCCTTCCCTCTTTATCTGCGCTCACTTCACTTTTAGGTGCCTTGTCAACTTGTTTTGCCTTTTTCTTTGCTGCCTTCTGGTCAGCTTTTATCTGATCTGTCTGTGCAGCCAGCGCTGAAGAAAGTTTTTCTCTAGCTGAACCAAGATTAGATCTGAATGTTTCTGAAATAAAAGAAATGTCTTCTTCTTCTGAATCACCGATTGGATCAACATTCTCATCTGAATCTCTGTCTACTGGATTTAATTCTGGATGCCCTATGGGCATTCTGGATTGTGGAGAAGAACACTGGTCTTTTCTGGTATCTTCATTCTTCTCCAGACTTGAATTCACTAGGGATTTTGCTAAATTCATGTACTGCTGATCAGATAGCATTTTTCCAGATTGCCTTAACTTTACAAGTTCTCGCAACAGGGAGTCTTTCAAGTTGCTAAGGGTTTGAGGTGTATTCCTATCTAGTAAAACCTGTTCAGATACCACTTCTGTCTCGCCTCTGCTCTCTTTCCACCCTTGCGCCTCATTTTGAGATACACTGGTACTCCTGTTCACAACATCCATCCGCGGTATAGAACTGTTGCAGGGTATTGTCTGATTTGCTACCGTTTGTGGAGGTAGCAGTGGATGAAGCACTTCACCCTGTCCATCCTGCACTTGTGACAATGAGGAGCTAGCTACAGGCTTATTTTGACCAGCTGTGAGACTCGCCTGTTGAGTGACCATTTGAGGATAAGCATGCACAGGCCTAGCACTATCTAGATATGAAGCCCCACGTTCTGGTAGTCTGACAAGGGAATTTCCATGAACAGAACCAGGTTGCTGGTGGACATATGGATACAAAGGTCTCCCCATGGCTTGAGGCACTGGGTTAATCATTACTGGGTAAGGTTGACCGGCTGGGGCCACTTGTTGACTGGATGAGGCCATTTGCTGACTGGATGGGGCCACCTGCTGACTGGATGGGGCCATTTGCTGACTGGATGGGGCCACTTGGTGCCTGGGTGGGGCCACTTGCAGACTGGATGGGGTCACTTGCTGATTGGAAGGGACCAAATGTTGAGCGAAAGGGGCCATTTGCTGACTGGATAGGGCCCCTTTCTGACTGGGTGGGGCCACTTGCTGCCTGGATGAGGCCATTTGCTGACTAGATGGGGCCACCTGCTGATTGGAAGGGGCCATTTGCCGACTGGATGGGACAAAATGTTGGGTGAAAGGGGCCATTTGCTGGCTGGGAGGGGCCAAATGTTGAGCGTCATACTGTGCAGAGCTTATGGCTGATGTTGTTGCAGAAGGCTGCAGGTTAAACTGGTTCATGTTTTGTACATGCTGTCCCTGACTGGAAAATTGGTTACTTGGTGCTATAATGTTAAACTGAGAAATCTGATTGTTGAGGTCTTGTCTCTCCTCTCGGCTTGTGTTCACACCTGCTTGACTGGCAGCATCACAGGTTGAACCGACTGGACCTTGCGGGACGGCCGTATTATAAGGTGGAGGAGTAAGGTTGAACTGGTCGATACCTCTGTGTTCTGGAGGACGAGCTTGACCAATGTCCATCATGGGCTGATTTTCACTTTCCTTTTCGGCTGCATTGTTAGTTTGTACTGGCATAGTACAGGGAGAGGCCCTGGATGTAACAGGGGCAGGCAATCTCTGAGACTTATTAGAAACTGATGCTCGACCTTGTCTCCTTGTCTGTCTTTGATTAGTCTTCTTGGCTGAGTTGCCTGATACACCACCTGACGGTGTGTAACTAGAAGCTGAAGGATGAGAATTCTGGGAAGACTGGATTAAATTTTTCAGCTGTTCTATTTTCTCCGACACTCTTTCCCTTTGATTCTGATCTGATGTCAACAGATCTACTATGGACAGTAGAGTGGAAGCCACATTCCCTGTTGTATTACCAGACTGGCCAGTCTCAAAGGCACTGCTGACATGTTGGTTGCTAGAAGAACTACTGTTCTCATCAGAGACACTGCTTGAGATGGAGGGGACATTCTGAGCTGTGCTTCTAGTGACCCTCCTTGGCATGGCTTGTTTACTGGCTTTCTTCAGTGTCCCACTGGCTGTCAGCAATCTTTTCACAGGTAAACTATCCTCGGCATCCTTCCCACTACTTAAATCAACCACAGTGAAGTACTTGGATTCATTGATCATATTTTTCTTGTAGGAGACCTTTTGACGAGGGTGGACTACGCGGCTGTGCTGAAGACAGTCCTCCCTAGAGTAGATCATTTCTTTGCATGACCCGCAGGAGTAAGGAGCCACATCAGAGTGCTGGTAGATGTGGGCAACTATCCTTGCATGGCCACCAGTTTTATAAGGACAGTGCAGGCATTTGTACTGATACACCCTATGTGCTCTGTCACCTTGGCTGGCAGATTTAGGAGAGGGGGAAAGTTTTCTCTTGAGGGCAGTTTGTTTTGGCACTACATCAGGCAGAATTCTCCTCAGAGGGGCTTTTACAGCTGTGTCTCTGGTGGGGGATTGAGAGGGAAGCCTTGCTGCAGGTTTGCTTGCTGAATTAGCTACTCTCTTTTGTTGGTTCCTTTTCTTTTTCTCTTTTGAGACTCTCACTGGTTTTGTAGCTGTCCTCTTTGATACTACCTTTGGTTTTGTCTTAACTGCTTGTTTAGATAGAGGCAATTTGATCCCTGGTTTAACTTTCAATGAACTACCTTTTTTAGAATTTGCCTTGTTTGCAGTTTTACGAGAGTTATTGATTTTAGCAGAATGGGAGGTTTTCTTCACAGTCTTTTTCAGAGTGGCTGCTGGTTTTTTCTTAGCCTTTTTCTCTTTCTCTTCTTTTCTCTTTAGATTTGCTCTTTTGATGGGTGACTTTCTATTTTTCAATGCCTGTGAAGTAGGTTGTGGCCGTTTAAAGAACATGGCTCTCTTCTTCAAGGCTTTCAGCCTCTGTTGTATTTTCTCGTGTATGCTCAACTGCTTTCTTTTCCCTCCCAGTTTCTTGACTTCTGTGGATTTGACAGCAGCCTGAGCCTGGCCTCTGACAGAGGTCATCAAATCAATGTTGTACACTGGTTGAATCTTTCTACACTTTCTTTGGTGAAATGACCGTGAGTAGATATCCATCTCCTTCCATGTGTTAGCAAAGTCTGTCAGCATCACACTGCAGGGTTTACACAATTTTTTTAACCTCTCCATTCTGTCAGCGGGGGTTTCCATATGTCCTGCCCCAAGAGGGAGACCCACAACACAAACATTGCCTTGCTGGTCCTCGTAAATATTCTTGACAGATAAAATGGTGGAGTAATTTCCATCTTCTGTCTCAGTTTTCTGGGGATCTTTTAGAAATTTTAAGACTTCTGTCTTCATGTCCCTGGCTTCCCTTTTAATGGTGATTTCAGGTATCAGGTCTAAGGCTTCTGTCAAACTGCTGTCCATTTCCTTTTTCACCTGAACTGTTAGGGGACTTTCACAGGTCTGTCCTTCCTTCAGTGACGGAATGCAAGGCAGAGAGTCAGATATTGAGGTTTGATCCAATGAGGAATCTTGTAAAGACTGCATCTGTGAGGTGTTACCTATTTAAATAAATAAAAACACAGTTGCACCAATGAATAAACCTGACCAGGAACTCTTAAATATGTAGGCATTATACAACAAGGCAGCAAAGCTGTCAAATGTACAGACAAAAAACAGAAAATAAAGATGCAAAAAAGGTCATTTTGTCAATTTTGATGCAATAATAAATAATGGTTATATATATATAATAGTACTGTCAGTCAACACTGAATTTTAATCATGCACAACAGGTAACATGGTCGATAAGACGGGCAGAACCTGAGATATTTTACTGACAGTATTCCAAAGTATCTATGTTGATCCATCCTCCATTTTGATGGTCTTCCAACAGAAAAAAATAGATACCAGTCAATATAAACTTAATAACCTGACTGTCTTCCGGAAGACCCAGAAGATGGTCTCAATCCACCCCTTCAATAAGATTACAGTTTCAGGACAATGAGAGACCAAAGTCACATGATGAAAGTTTCAATATTTAAAAATGATGACAGTGCATAAAATAATATTACATAATGTTTAAAGACATAAAAAACAATACAATTGCTTAAGTGACACAGTTTTCCCATAATGGTCATCATGGCAGCAGCACCAAAAATTGTGTTTTCTTCTATTTTGATTCAACATTACATAATGCTTAACAGCATAATGACCATCAATTTTTAATAATAGAATATTAGTAACACGGACATTCAGAAAATGTGACAAGCAAAGGTCTGCAGGCTCATGGAACTACAAAGTCACACCTTGAAAATGCCAATATGTGAAAAATTAAATTTTCACAAAAAACTGTTTAACTGCCAGAAAAAATTACCAAACAGACTGCATTGCCTACTGAAGCTGTATTTTACACCCATGTTTCTTTCCTGTAAGTTTGAAAACAGTAAGTGACATGGTTTTTCTTAAATGGTCATCATGGGAGCAGTGCCCAATATAGGGGTTTCTTCAAATTTTGATGCAATATTAC